AAAAGATTGGTCAATACAAGGAATTGGCTGCAAAAAGTATAGAAATCAAAATGTTCCTCTATGATGATACAAAATCCACACTCTCCGATGACACTGACATTAGTGAGGCCAATTCTGAATATTCCGCCATGAGTAGTGCTTCCACAAAAAAGCCCAAAAAAGATTCTACATCCAAAAAACCCTACACCGAAGCAGATTTAATGTCCTACGAAAAGAAAAAGTTCGAATTGGCAAAGGAAATATACAATGAATTTTTGGACATGAACGGAAGCATGACTGTCAACCTGTCAAAGAAAAAGACTGACGTTATTAAGCATAAAATTGAGGAATGTGCAAACAGCGCCTTTCCCTTGTTGGAGGATGATCTATTTGATAGTATCGAACGTGAAATTGCTCAATTAATGTTGGACACTCATCGAAGATTTAAGGAAAGTCTTGCATTCAAAAAGCAAATGAAAATTGATAATATCAATACACGAATCAAGAATGCTGCCTCACAGACAAAATAAGATGGAAAATTGAATTCAAATATTTGGTCAATCTTGTAAAGTATATTTGCTGAGTCTTGCATTCCAAAATAAACAATAATATTCTAGAAAATTACTTGAAAGACAAATCATAGCTTTCACAACAACAGCTTCTCCACACTTGTCAAAACCTGTACAATTTCTGAAAACTCTGGTCTCAATTCTGGTTCTGACTGCCAACATCTTTTCATTAACTCGATATATTCATTTGTGATTTGCACCAATTTAGGTAAAGAACAACCATTTTGATAAGGTTGAACATATTCTTTCAACCAAATTTCTTCTTCCAGTGGAGAAGAGAAGGGAATTTTCGGTCTTGATCCATTCAATACGTGCAGCAACACATTGTATTCATTCTCGACAGAGGATGCTGAATTGAATCTGTGAATTTTTGCAGACTTGTCATTAACATAGGGATTTTCTTCAAAAAACAATTCCCACATGATAATTGCAAAACTGTAGACATCGATTTTGGGAGTGTATTTTGGATTGTCATCCACCATTTCCTGTTAAAGTAAAATTGTGAATGAATTGTTGAATTAATCAAGGTTCACAAATTCATCACACATTGAATAGCAAAAAAGTTCATCACCATTAATGTTTTACATCTATCTTGTTCACACACTTACTCTCGCCATATAAAACACAGTTCCAATATGTTTGGTAGCAGCAGCACTATTTCCCATAATTTTCGAAAGTCCAAAATCACATACTCTTGCGTTATAATCTTCATCAATTAAAATATTTCCTGGTTTTAAATCTCGATGAACAATGGGTGGTTTCAAGGAATGCAAGTAAGCCATTCCATTTGCAACTCCAAGCAAAATGTTAATTTTTTGACGAAGAGTCAAAAATTCAACCCTCATTTTACATCCATAAATCAACTTGTCTAAACTTCCTTTGGGTAAATATTCCACTACAATGTATTTGTGAGATCCAGAAAGAGAAATTCCATACATTTTGACAATCGAAGAATGATTGACAACGCTCAACATGGCGGCTTCTTTTCAAACTCTTCTCCCATATCAATGTCATCGAATTTAAGTGTTTTTAGGGCGACATCTTTGCTATTCCACTTTCCTTGATAGACCGTTCCGTTACTTCCTATATATTTGAAGAAATTCCATAATATTTTTCATAGCAGTTGCGGGTGTTAAAATATAATAGTATTAACAATTTCATAGTTACCTTCTCCGATTTTTTTCACAATTTCAATGTCCTCAATCGGAATAATTAAAGATTGATAACTCTTCTTTTGGGTTTTACCAATTGAAGGGGTGTAATCACTGCTACTTCCGATACTGTCATTAATTAACAACGGAGTTTTCATATCCGAGAAAATCACCTTCTTGTCAATAATTTTAGACTCCAAAGTCTGCTCCGCCTTAACCTTTCGTTTCAACATTTGAAGTTTCAAATAAATATTTCTCACTACTTTGATCGTAACTAGTAGAATTAATCCAAATATTAATGTTAAAAAACTCCTGAAACTACCGCAATAGGAATGACAATTTTAAAATGAGATCATTGGAAATTGGGACATCGTTCTTGATGCAGATATATCCATACGAAAATGGTTGCTTCAATTTATATCCATCAGGACAATCCAAAATATGAATAGTGACGTTCAATTTGTAATAATTCTCAAAAATCAAAATTGCCTCAATTTTTGTTGAACTATTCGAGAAAATGGAAAGTGACAACCCAATTATTTCGTTTCTACTTTTAGAAACATCAGAATGAATAATGGAATCATCATTTCTTGCTTTTAGTATGACTTGATCTTGTAAATAATTAATTATTTCAGTTCCATTGTAGGAAACTTTTTGAAATCTAATTTTTGGAATTACCTGACCTGGATAGATACTC